CGAATTCTTCATCGACGGCGAGAAGCTGCATGGCGTCGAAGTCGGACACACGGACAATGAGTTCTCCAGCTTTCTCCACGTCCCTGCAGTCGACCTTGTCGTTACGGGCGACATTGTGTACGGCGACTGTCATCAGCATTTTGGCGAGGCCAACACGCCAGCTAAACGTAAGGAGTGGCTGGATGCTATCGATCTCATCGAGGCAAAGAATCCGCACATTGTTGTTGCAGGACATAAGAGAGCGTCACAGGCAGATGCGCCATATTTGATCCAGTCGACTAGGGAGTACATTTACACATTTGAGAAGGAGTTGGCCAGGACAACGAGTGCTGAGGCATTGTATGACAGGATGAAGGAGTTATATCCTCAGAGATGGAACCTTTTTATTTTGCATTTCGCGTGCCAAGAGTCGTTCAAGGCGCGAGAGAGCAAGCTTTGAGGAACAGTAGAGTAGAAACAGTTAAGCAGTTGAGCAAGAGTCTTTGATAGTTGGTACAGAATGTGAAAGATGCTTTGCGGCTCGTAATCAAGATGCATCATCACTCCTACGTTTTTTGTCATTTCTATTCTCCGGAAATCACGCTATCGAGAGCACCGAGGTATATCCATGGATGACCCTGGTACGTTAGACGGCGATTGAGGTCAGATGTGGGATGAAAGTGCAGTCCAGCGGAAAGAAGGGGCAATCGGGGCTAAGCCAAAGGTGATCTAGAGGATCTTCTTATCGATAGGGACTGAGCCGAGCCTTCCAACCGTGGAAAAGCGTCTGCCTTTACACCCCGCGATCCTCACAATGTACCAACATCCGCCATTAATCGAGTCTCTCTGATCTCGATAGAAGCTTTCTGATGCTTGAAGACCCCAACACGAAAGTGCGATGCACTTTCGTGTAAGATATGTGGTTTAGACCCGACAGTCCCTCCCGCATCTCGCCTACGCAAGCTCTTGTCGATACTTCTCTTTTCGAGAGGACCTGATTGGATGGGTATCTCGCCTACGCATGACAGCGGAACAGATACCGTAGTATCTACTTTGAATCATTTCTCGGGGTGTTGGTGCCTCTTCGCCGTTATTTTACAGCTGCAGGACATATGTTCAGGTGCTCGCCCGTTACTGGGACGCGGCATGGGGTTACGCGACGTCCACAACAACATGCCACGATGCATGCACTGCTAGATGTCATCTTGTGCGCTTCGGCGTGCAGGCGGCTACACTGACATCACACGGCTTCGCTATACTCTATTTCATACCGAATCTATGCCCTATGAAGTTGCCAAGGGCAAGAGCGGAGCCTCAAGCGGAGAACCAAGCGAGTCCTGGATTTATCCACCAATTGATCTTGGTCATCAGGATCACGGAACAAAACCACATATACCAGCGCGTCGACGCCAGTATCAACTGTGACCACTTCACGAGAAAATCAATCCCTTACTCCTCAAATCACAGATACCAAAATGGCTGCTAATGCTCTCGTCGAATCGCTGAAAAGCGCCAACCTACTCCCTTCCGCCATCATTCCAGAGTCTTTCAGCCCAGCGCTGGATCTCAGCGTCAAGTTCTCCTCCGGACTTACTCCAGAACATGGAAGTCTCGCTCGCGTCAGCCAGGTCAAAGAGCAACCTATCATCTCAATCTCGTCTCCACCGACATCTTCCGCCGCGAGCTTCACATTCATGATGATCGACCCCGATGCGCCTACACCGGACGACCCAAAGTTTGGCTACTGGCGCCACTGGGTCGTTACTTCCATTCCATCTCCATCAGCGACCACCTCTCCAGAAGACATCACCGCGAGAGGAAAGACGATCACGCAGTATCTGGCACCTGGACCGAAGGATGAGAGCGGGCCACATCGGTACCTCTTTCTTCTATTTGAGGAGAAGGCAGGCGAGACTGTAGAGAAGGCGGATGTTGGAGGAGAGGAGTTTGTTGAGAGAAGAAGTTTCCGGGCGGAAGAGTTGGCCGCGAAGAAGGGATTGAAGTTGGTTGGAGTCCAATGGATGCGAGGAGTGGGCGATGGATGGAAGGGAGAAAAGGATGAGCTATAGAAAGAGGAAGGACCCAGCGAGATGAGTTCCACCTGTAATTAGAAGCTCACAACAGCCCCATTCAGTTATGGAATCTTCCGTTCAGGATATGAAGATGCTTCGGTGCTGGGTGGTGACGCGGGACTCTTGCTGACTCAGCCCTGCTGCCGCGCTAGCGCTCGACGCGTCTCAAGCTCCAGCGCACGCTCACCTGGTCTCCCGTGAGCAACAAAGCGCCACGTCACGACTATTCTTTGATAGCACACTATATGCGAAGATCACGAATCTGCTCACATTTCTTGCGGAATTCATTTCAAGATACTGCTATACTGTCACCGATCCGTTTCGAACGGCACGCGTAGGTCGTTCCGTCCCGACTGACCGCAAACCAGTACCACCTTCATGGTCGCCGCGGCCTCATCCTCAATATCTCCATCGCTGTTCGTCTTTCGCGTCCCAGAGGTCGACTTCCACGCAAAAGCTCTTTCGCTGCGGCCGCCGCATGCTTCCTGATATCCCGCTGGCGTTCTTTTCCATGCGGCACGTTTGAGCGTCCTCGAATACTGTCTTTATTGGGCCTGCCTGTATACCGACTGGCTCCTCGATCGCTCGACCGATTATTACTACGCGTATTGACATCCTCCCTTCTTCCACGGCTATGCCGCCTCGATGCTTCAGCAGCCCTACGTGAATACGATGCGGTTCGAGGAGCTCGATTTCGATGTGAGCTTTGCTCGCTGTTTCTGTGACCATGGCTGTTAGTCTGGTCTCTTACATCGACATCGCTGGCTGAGGAACTATACTGGCGGTAGCCATGGTGGTCACGATCATGTATGTTGGTCTGGGGCGCCTCTCGACGCAAGTGCAAGCTGCTCTGTGCCATCCCTTTCGTGGTAGACTTTTGTCTCATCGCGGCACGTCGAAAGCCCTCAAGTGGCGATAGGCCTACCTCTGAGGGTCTGAGCTCGCTACGCCAGACCGGCAGTCTAGCTTTCCTCGCTTCCGCAGAGTTACGAGGAGACTGTTGACCACGCCTGCTATAGGGCGCTGCCCTGTACTCAATCATCCCTCGAGAACCGCTGTCCTGGGGCCTTACCGAGTATTTATAGATGCTATCCCTCATGTTGTTCGGGCTGGTCACAGAGTGGCCTACGTCACTCCCAAGACCCTCGCTTGCCGCGATCTGACGCCAGCCTTGACAAGCTTTCATCAGCTTCAACCTTGCTGATTCTCCAGATCTCCACACTCCATCCTCGGTCACATCAAAGTAACTGGACCGTATGGAAAGGCTGCTCTCAAGTTCCGGGAGCAATTCGACAGCACGTAGTTGCGCGGACTTCAAGTTATCCCGTTTTTGTTCCCACGCCCTGCCCAGCTCTTGCGCTTTTGTAATCCAAAAGTCCTGGCGGAAGTCATCGCGAGCTTTAGCTTCGTTTTCGTCGTCTGCTGCTACGGATGCAGACCCTCTTGGTCCAGTATTGTCTCCGCTCTTTGATCTAGCCTTTTCCAGCTCATCATCGAAGTTATCCCGATACTTTCTGTATAGAAGTTCCGCTATGTTGGCAGCCTGCTGCTTTCCAGACATGTCCGCCATAACTCTTGCCCGCTTTTGCGGTCGGTCTGTTTTATCACTTTGACGATCAACACCGGCAGCATTGACCTGGGATCTACCATCTTCATGACGTCTTCTTCTTGCTCGCGTGATGATAGCGTCCCCTTTCCGCGGTTCAGGGTATGGCTTGAGGAACCCCGATTCTATTAACACTGGATCTAGCATGCGGTCAACGACGAGCCAAGCGTCGCGCCACGCATTTCGCTTTTCCTTGAGTTCGTCTTCTAGCATGGATTTATTATCAAGGATGATTTTCTGGTTATTTCGGCTTCGCATCAACTGTTGCCATAGATCATCCAATTCTTCCGCTTGTCTGTCGCTAGGAGTCCCGGCTTGTTCCAGTTCTTTCTTCTTGAGTTGTAACCGAAAGTCCGTGGACTCAGCTATGCCGGCAGCATCCTGACCCTGCGTCTCAAATCGCTGTCGATGAACCTCAGCTTCGCTTTCGAACTTTCGAAAGCTTCTCCCCAGACAAAGCGCTCGCTGTATGCTAGCTGCAAGCTGTCTGGAAAAGACTAAGACCTTAACCTGATCTTGGTCTTGTTGAAGAGCTATGTCAACAACCTTGGGTTCATTGCAGAAGGTCGATTGATTGATCACCGTTGTCGCCCACTGCTTGCAGGCCTTTTCAGACGACGTCTCTGGATGTGGCAGTTCATGCGACATCTTGACATGTACCGGTATAATGGTATAGGGTAGGTGAACACGATCGTTGGGGAATGCTGATCGACAGACAGTTATTGTGGAGATGCCAGTCCAGATTCTTGTCATAGATCTCTGGCTGTGGAAGTCAACAAAGGCACAAAGGCACTCAATGAGAAAACAAAGAGCCACTTTGAGCCCCGAGCACATGACTGCCAACCACATATTCAACGTCAATGTTGTTGTGTTCGTATGTCGTCAGTACGTGCACGTCTACTAGTAGTACGGGGGAACTCGAACCTCTCCAGCAATGTTCCACATTCTCGACTCAACTCTGTTCTGACTTCGGAAGCAGTTCGTCCTTCGGTAGCTCCACAGATGCTGCTAGATATGAGAACAAGAATACCAGGGTAGCTGCATCTGCAGCGTACATTGGGGCAATGCGCTCTGCTTCAGTGTGCGCGTGCACAGATTGACCACATTTGCGGAACAGAGATTGGGTTTCATTACAGGCCCGGCGCTCCACTTGCGTGAATATCAGCGATAGCGTATGCACCCTCCAGGCTACAGCTCATTCATTATCTCTCCATCGCATCCGCCTGACGGGCCCTCGTAAACAAGCTAGTCTCGCCCCTAGCGCTATATCATCCCCAAACCCTCCTCCATACGAAACCATTCCTTCCCGATCTCTGCGCACGTCAGTTAAGTGACACATTACAATGGCGGGTCATAGGCAGCAAGGTAGGCTCTACGACCCCCTTCCAGGGATTCGCGATATTGACCAACACCAGGACGCGAGGCTGGCGAGCACGACTTCAAGGAGAGCGACCAGGACTACGAAGATGTTAGTGGCTGACTTTCGTGATGAAGTCGGACTACTAACGATCGATAGACCGACGTTCCTCCATTCGTTCCCGCATTTGGTACCCCTACTGCTCACATCGTGAAGCGCAAGTTCTCGAGCAAGTCAGATGTCGCCTCGAGGCATAGCAGTAGTAGCGAACCGGAGCGCTCCAACGAACAGCCGAGTACAACACCTGAAGAAGGCCACAGAGCGAAGCGACCCAGGATCGAAAAGGATGGTTCTACCGCCAAGACATCAGGGCGTCCGCGAAAGCGTACGCCAGACTCCGCATGGCAGGGTAATCGCGTGACCTCCCACCTGGATCGATTTGGTGACATCAGCACTGAAGAAACTTCTGAGATACTGCGGCAAAGGATAAGGACCAAGCAAACTGAACTTGGCTCTCGTATCTACGGTCTTGAGGACTCCATGAACGAGTCTTTTCGCAACCGCGTGTTCATGGTTCTGAGTGAGGAGGCGGTGAGTATTCCACGTCGCCCCGAGATTCCTCTTGGATTCCGAGTCAAGGTCGGTATGGCGTTTTGGGAACGAGCAGTGGGGTTCTCTCATGACGAAGATACCCCTATCGGAGACCACGCCGCTGGCTCTGCACTGGGAAAGACCACCACGAAACGGCGCTTGCATATCGTTCGTGCTATTCTTGGCGACGACAAGTTTCTGACTACGTGTGTGGAGACTCACGGCGAGCGAGGGCTCCACGCTCCGTATATATCGCCGGATACATACTGGCAGTGGCTACGTATAGCTGATGCTCGCGAACGAAACCCCACCAACCATGGCCCTCACGGTGTTCTCAAGTTGGACACAAGCCAGGCAGAGCATCCTGTTCGAATCTCGGATATGTCATAAGTGTTTGCCGGAGTTTCCACTCAATGCACGCTTACAGAGCACTGGGATTTCGCTGGATACCTTGATGAAGACAGTGTGAATCTGTTGGAAGCGCTTTCAAAGCGAGTCACAACATCGCAACGAGATGACAAGATGGATCACGATGTCTACCACTCTATGGACTGGCGAGCTATAGACGATGGTCGAAAGGCCAAGGGCCTCGCAGCGTATCCACGACCTGACCGGCGGCCACCCCCTCGTCAAACTGAGACTCCCCAACATCATCCGGATGTAGACGAGTCCGACAACGATCACAGGCGTTCCGATCATCGCCGCCGCTCTGATGATCGACGAGACCGAGACCACCGGGATTCATCTCGAAAGGATCGGGGCTACTCAGACACCGCATCTTACGGTAAAGATCGCCCACAGCGCCCTCGTGATTCAGATACCAGGAGCTCTCGGCCGCGATCAGGCAAGGGAAAGAGGGCCGATCAATATGACGACATTGACCGAAGCAAGGCTGATGGCCCTCGCGGAGACCACGCCACAGAAGGTACTCAGTCCTGGAATGGGGCTGTTCAAGGTATCAGGGCCGGTAGTGTGTATGTTGGCCCCAACTATTACAGCCGAGAGTCTACAGGCCGGACCGACCGCATGAACGACGACGAAGGTCCTTCCGGATCGCGTGGCCTCGGCGGTTCTTACGATCGCTTCTAGTGCTGCGATTCATTGCTTCCTGAAGGAGTGTGGCGAGGAGAAAGCGCGACGGTATATGGAGAATAGAAGACGGAAGAACTTGTTGGAAGCTGGGCAAGGTAAGGTGGTTCGAGCACTTCGTCTCAGTGCCCGTGTCGTATACCCTGCATCAGGGCGGACTTAGCTAATATGAGCTTTCCAAAAATAGCTGGTCGGATATATGTGAAGTATTGTTGTTGCCAATGGAAGATGACATCTGATGTTCTCGTGAGTGAATGCTAAGTTGCTTGCTTGTATGTGGAGATCGGGCAGACAAGGGCCATTGGTGACGTCAGTGCACGGGCCATGACGCGAAAGTCGCGGGTAAGCAAGAGTCCAGCGGCCCTTTCACCACTCGCGCCGTCACTGCACTTATTCACCCTCCCTTCAAAACAGCAGCCCTAATTCACTGATGTGTCGCGTTCCTGATCGGATGTGATGACTTCCTTCTGTAAATTATGAACGCCAACAGGCGACGAAGAACCACCAGTTTGCGCGCCCGGCACAGACGCCCGCTTGCATCGAAAGTCTGCTGGAGTTCGGTGTCATGCTGAGGCACCTGGGTATAGACTTTTACTAAGACGTAAGTTCTTCGTTCATTTCATTTCATGTTACTTTGACTGCTATGTGCTCTTTGTACAGGTCTGAATAGAGATACTCTTTACTTGTGCTGATCTTTCCCAGGAGCGCTCGCTATCTCCTACTAGCATGTTGGTCAAATTCTAGTCCGATAGTTCACCCAAGCCGTACACCAACTTATCATTGACTTGCGCCATCCCGTCACCAACGTCGAGTCTCGAAGAACTCCACCGCTCCGTTTCGACCTGCGTACCGCACCACATCTGATACCAGCATACCTTAGAGGTGCATTCGGTGGAATACATGCCAATCAGCTTCTGCTGCGCTTGACAGTTTGCGTCGTACACGATGCATTCGTCAAGCACAATATAGTTGCGACCATCGTGCTTGAGGGCTGTCCTCTCGCCTCCGCTTGCGTACAGCTCTGCTGGCGTTGATTGCTATCGTCCATAGAAGGAAGCCCAACTCTGTCACCCTAGCCGGGCCTTCCGCGCAGTTCTCTGTTGGTTACGTCTCTCCTGCAGCGCCTGCGAAGGGAATGGATGGCCTATCTACGGTGATCCCCTGAGGGACACCAGCGTTCACCGGGGATAGCGTCGGATGATGCCGTCGCGATCGCGATACTCTCCCCTCTCTAGTCCAACACGAGAACTTCTTCGACCACGTTCTCGTCTCTCTCGATTCTGATCCAAGGAGGGTGACCGACTCCGACTTCGACTCTGACTTCTCAGCCTCGGAGAATCCCTCCTTCTTTGTCTGGTTTCTCTTCGTTGAGCTGAAGCTTGTCGCGAGCGTAGTCTTGAGCTGCTTCTTCTTCCGCGTTCAAAATCCTCACGCTCTTGCCTAACAAGCCGTTCGATTCGTAAAGTTCGTTCCTCCCTTGTTTTGCTGTCAGCAGACGGACTACGCCTATGGCGATTTCTGTCTTCTTGATCGGAGCTACCATTTCGCTGGTCAACCTCATCGCTGTCGTCCACAGCTCGCGTCCCGTCTTGACGTCTGTGTCTTCCACGTGGCTCGTTTTCCGTCCGCCTTCTACGTCTTGACTGAGAGCGATCTCTTCGTCCCCCGCGGCCCCTGCCATTCGTCTCATCGTCGCGAACCGACTCCTGTCCGCCAGCCAAGCCCCTTTCCCTACCGGATCGATGGCCAGGTGTCGCCGCAGGTCTCTCGGTTCGATCTTCACCGGTGCTTTCATACTGCTTCAGTATTCCAGCTTCCATCCATACGTTATCTAGCAGCTTATCCACTTCAAACCACGCATCTCTCCATCGCTCGACCTCTCTTTGGTCGCCTTCCTCCAGTGTGATCAAGTTCTTCTCGATCACGTCGTTTTTATTGCGCATTCGATGGAAACCTCGAGCCAAAGTACTAAGCTCTTCTCTTTGTTTGTCACTCGGAACGAGAGCCTGTTCAATTTCCATCTTCTTGAGTCGCAACTCAAACTCAAGTGTCTCGACAAGAGCTGCATTGTCCAGTCGCTCGGTTCTTGTCTCTTTCAATTTCGCTTTCGTATAATGAGCAGATAATCTATGCTGTCGACCCATGGATAATGCTCGCTGGAACTTCATCGCTAGATCGCTCGAAAGTGTCAATACAAGGACCTTTTCCTCGCCTTCTTTGATCTCTCTTAGCTTGGCAGACTCTCTAGTATGGGTATGGGCTATGTCTCGTGCCGCCCAACGGGCGACAGCGGCCTCTTCTTTTGTGGGCGGATGCCTCGCATTGTAGTTCATTCTTGCTTCTGCTATCGAGCCGTACGATTGGTTCAAGCAACTTCCAGATTCCGATGGTGAAAGTTCTTAGGACAACATGATCCGCGCGACAACCTTTTATAAGCGACATAAAAGTTCAAAGACACAAACAAAGAAACATACACAACGCAAAACCCTCTTTCATCTGAAGAGTGTGCTTCGAAACTGGCTATATACTATACATGCTGACGCTAAATCGTGTGACCCCTGTTTCCCGACGGGGGTTGAAATCACGGGCTTTCGTTGAACAGTTGCACGACGATCTTTACCCGCTCTGCACACCAAGCAACCCCCATAAAGCGAGTTATACAACATATTGAGAAAAAACTTCAAGGTCACACAACTAGTGAATGATTTGATACATTCACTCAAGGCTTGAGCGCTCCCCATACTCCCCAATCTGGCAATTTCGCCGCGCGGATCGCTTCATACTACCTCGCGCATGGGCGATGTTAACAGCAAACACTTCATGCTGTACTCTAATGAAATCAAGTGGGGCCTTGAGCCTCTTCATTGGCTTTCTGCTCTCATGGACCGCACGAACTACTCAGTCAAGCGCCACACTTTCAACCCACCCCGTTCAACCAGATCGCGCTATCGAGAGAGCAAGAGCTCAGGGCTACACCACGCTACAGCGAACCAGTGTGTACTGTAACACCCCGCCTGGATCATTGTGCTCTCAACAACCATGCCTCCACCAGACTCCGGATTTTCTGTACGTACTGTTTACAAATGAGCAATCAGTTGCATTGTTGTTCTTAAAGCATATACATCATCCAGGAATAATCGCTAACCGCGACTAACTTAACGTAGCCTGTCAACTCTGGTTTACCCCCGGAAGTCCTGCCGGACGGTGTCACGGTTCAAGAGCTTGAGACTTACGACGACGCGCCCATCGGGGCACAGTCTCATACAAGCCAAGAGAACAATGAGTCGAAACGGATTGACGAGAAAACCCTGTCCGCGGGCACCAGGAAACGTCCTCGCGCGCCCACGCCTGACGACGACGATGCCGATCGAAGAGTTCGCGCCAGAACCAACACAACGCCACCAGGCCCAACAGTACCGGACCACCCTTTAACAACACCTTCAGTACCCGCCGACGGGCAACCACCAGAAATCATGCAGATCATGACGAACCTTGCAGCAGTTACTGGCCAGATTGTTGCATCTACCAAAGACGAATCCTCAACTAATAGTAGCTCTACTCGTAAGACCGTCGCGGACAAGTTACGAGAAGTGCTTAAGATGCTTGTCCCTTGCGTGACTAAGGTCCGTTCAATGGGGGCTCTTGGCGTCGACATCTTAGGGCTTGCAAATTTGGTGGATTCCTCGCTCGGACGTGAGGGCATACTTACCATCATCTCGTCGCCCTATGCCAGTAGCATTCCCAAGCCACTTGTTCTCTATTACACCGACTACTTCGCCGTTGGAGACACATTCTGGGATCGGCAGGTGGAGTTTGCGGCTGACCAAACCCTGGAACCTGGTGAGAAGGCCGCTCCAAGCTCACAAGGATTGGTATGTGTTGCCTTCCGTTTACACATTGTCACAAAAGTGACCCCGGTAAATATGTGGACGACGGTTGGCCGACTACATGGTAAAAACGGGCTCTCACATCTACACAAAGACGACCTTTGGATGCACCTGCATCTTCACGATAGTGTGCACGGGCAGCTGCCACGTAATGGGCTACTCAGGGCGAACGACACACCACACGAGTCGCTGACCTATAGACGGGTCACAAATTACCGGCACTGGGATGTTCATAAGAGAACACACTTCTCCGCAGTAGATGCAGTACCGCACATTCCTAGCGAGGGCATGAAACCTCTGGGATCACTTGATGAGGACAGTCGCGACCTGCTCATGGGACTGAAGGCCATTGCACACAGTCCAGACGGGGAAGTCTTCGTACGTCCAAAAGGTATGAATGTGGATGCGGTCAAGAGCGGCCTTCGACAGGCGAACCATCATCTTCCGGGTGATATGCCTCGTCCACACAATGCACAAGGGCGTGAACATTTGTTCGGTCAATTACGCACTCATCCTTCCAAGAAAGATTCCACGGATCTTATACGAGAGTCAAGCACATTCAGCTCCGCGTACTCGGCATCAGTTCCCCAAGCAGGAGAAGCCAAGTCTTCGGTTGATCAGTCTCGAGACCAGTCCTCCAAAAAGGTCAATCCATCTCAAGTCATGTCTCAACCCCGTGACAGCCCGGCATCACATTCGCAGCAGCAAGCACAAGCTCCGGATGCGGTGAGGGAAGGTCGAAACTCTACGGGCGAAAAGGCCGATACCACAGCCACAGGTCTACGAGAAGCTCTTCCTCATGCTAACATGAAGTCCCAGACCGGTCCAATCAGCAACCAGCCGGCTATGGCACAGGTTCTGAATCAGACTCACAGTGGAGCAATGGTCAACCCCATCCTCAACGTGACAGAGCAACAACAGTCGTTGAACATCAACCAACCTGTATCGGGCCCACCGCTCAGCCCAGGAAGGAAAGGTCGTGATGGAGGCGTCTAACTGGAATCTCGGCTACTGATCGAGCTCTGGAGGAAGGGAGTGGCGGGTTCTGGCACGTTTGTTCACGCAGCGACAAATTCTTCGACTGCACGGCATGGGGTAGCTAAGGGTTGTTGTTTTCTTTACATTGTCTGGTTTCGGTAGCATGTAAACGCGTTACCATCCAACTAGTCACGATATGATGCAACGCAGCTTGCGTTCATGAATAATACAACTGGTCAAGCCATATCACCATGTTTTTCCTCGTCAACGGCACTTTACAGAACGCCACGCGAACCAAGTTTTCTCAACATTAAGATAACAACACTGCCTTACTACACGATGTCTCGCAAGACACCCAGCAGCAAACTTCTCACAAAGCACCCTATCTACCACAGTCCCTCCCGTCGTTTTCAGGAGGGTTTCGACTTCTTATCCTCTGGGCGCTTTCATCGCGAGTCCTGTGCTGCTGACTTTCGCGGTGATTACGTTCCCGATAGTCTGGTGCGTCTCTAGATTTACGTCGTTCTCGTCCTGGACTGCTTGACCGACTTCGGTCTCGTCGTTCCCGATGCGCGTCACGATCATGCGCTTGTTGTCGCGCGTGGCTGGGCATGGAGACATCGTGGCCATGACGTGGTGGTGGGGGCGGCGGCGGCGGCGGGCGCGACGGATATGCCCGATACGATCTTCGCCGATGCTCGCTAGAGTGTCGGGAGGGGCGAGAAGATGTCGGACGATCTCCAGCGTTGTTGGTGCGTCCAATAGCCTGCCTGCGATGTGTACTTGCATCTTTTCCCTTATCGAGGTTTGTGGGACTATGGGCTTCGACACTGTTCTGCCATTCCGAGATATCGCTTCTTCGTCTCCCCGCCTGCCTTTGTCGGGCGGGCTCTGCCTCCGGTGCAGCTAACGGCAAGTTGTCGCCAGGTATATTCGCCCGGCCTCCGTTCCTTCCGGCTTCGTTCTTTGACTCAGTCGCTCTAGGTGGCCTTTCGTTGTCCGCATCTGAATCGTCGTCGGGTACTAGCCGCCCTGCATCTGTCCACACTTTGGCTAGAATCTTGTCTATGTCGGCCCAAGCCTTCCGCCACCTGTTCAAACCGCGCGCAAGATCCCTATCGTAGTTCGCTATCGTTTCATCCATGATACCTTGGTTGGCTTTCGTTCGCTCGACACTTTGGGCTAACATCTTCAAAGTCTTCTTTTGGACCTCGGTCGGCTCTTTGTTTGGCTGTATTTCTGCGCACTTGGCGTTAAAGCGATGAGTGAACGACTCCAAAGAACCTTTGTTATCGGCTTGCTTCAAGCGCGTTTCGTGCTTCCATCTTTTGACGTCCTGTACTGCATGAATATGACCACGACCCAATGCAAGAGCGGTCTGAATCTTCTTCTCAAGCTCTTCTGTTAGAACCAATGCCAAAGCCTCGCGTCTACCATCTCGTACTCTCTTGAGCCGCGGCCGCAAGGTACTCGATCCCGAGCTGTGTGCCGTTGGATGCACCCATATCTGACAAGCTCTTTCGGAGAAAGTCGTATCCAATTCTGCATCGTCGTACATGGCTATCGTCTTGGAAGATAGGATTCGTTGCGACAAGATGCGCGAAGCTTCCCTGCTTTTAAGCATCATGACAAAGCTAGCAGATTTCTTTGACCGCAACGCTGCTTTGTAAGTTGACAACAAAGGTTTGCTTAGTACTATCAGTCACGCCACTTTCAATATATTCATTATGGAAGACTTCACAGTGTACGACTGCGCGAGTTGATTGGCTATTGCAAGACACCATCGTCCACGTACATCCCAGAACTCGGAAGTGGGATCTAGATATACACCAAGTTTTCGAAAGCAGCCAGTTCTGTATCAACTAAGGATGCCCACTAGGTTGGTTCCGTCCAAGGGGCAGTGGCAGTGGCAGACACAACTACTAGATGATCACACTACATTCACTCACTCGTTGCACGGATCGCCCCAATGCAGCAGTGCACTACGTCAGGAACTTTCTGATTACGATGAATTTATCCACCCGGAGGGGGCAGAGCTTGCGCTACTGTTGCGAATCACTGCGCTGAAATCGACTACATCAAGTGCGCATTTCACTGATCCTTCCCAGATAGACCTTTCTACACAAACTAATTCTCAACCGAACCCTCAACCGAAATATCACAACTGTTTCGATCATTACACCTACCAAAACCCTTTAACACTTGCGCATCCGCCAAACATGTCGGGTCGTCGTGGTCATGAAGGTAAGCCTTTTCCCTCTACAACTTCCAGAACAATCCTAATCAAGACAGACAAAGACAGTCCGCAAGCATCACGAGTAACACGCCCTAGAGGCTATGTAGCGAACTCTGGTCAGATCTTCGATGAACTCGAAGAGGTGGTCGTCGCCGATTCGGAAAGCTCGACACTGAGCCCGGTCAGCCCTCTCTCGCACCCTGAACAAGAGATCGAGCGCGCACCGCAGCCGACTCACGCCCCTTCTCCACAACCACAACGGGAAGCACGCGAAGCGAGTGTTGATAGCCAAGACGGGTATCATACACCTTCGGAGTTCCCCGGGGAAGAGCGCGAACCTGCTGCTAGCTCCCAAGAGCAACCTACACGCGAACATGGTAGGCAAACCACCAGCCCTTCGCCATCCGAGCTTCAGCCTCGTTCGGGTACCAACACAGCTCCTCCACTATCTCGTCAAGAAGAGCGTAGCTTAGTCGCCATTCCCCAAGACCAGACCGCACAGCTTCATGAAGCGCGGGAACAGATTGCCAATAACCGACGCGACGTACATGCGACTACCGTGGGCCCACCGTCTGAACACCCTTCTCAAGTCGAGCGCAGCCCTGGTGGTAGTAGTCGTGAGGATCAAGCATACCAAGATGTCGTCGTGCGAGAGCCACCCCTAGGCTCCACCGATGCACCTATTACCATTCCACGAACAGATACCGAGCACACATTCAAGACAAGCAAAGTCATGCAGTTCCTAGCAGCGTATGGAAGCGCACAACAAAGGCCAAACCTCATCGTTGACTTCAGTACACCACTTGGTCAGAGGCAGATGCTGGCTCTCATTCAAGACTTCGCTTCTTGGTGGGCTTCCAATGGCGGTTGCATAAAGCGCGGAAATCTTGGTCTCGAAATGCCTGACCTTGCCGGGCTCTTGTTCCCGCAATATGATGGCTTGACAACGATGATCATGTCTAAGCAATCCACTCATGTACCACAACCCATCCGGCAACGTCTCGACGAGGTGTTCTGGGAAGGCATGCTCTTTTGGTTTCGTACTTCCGAGTACGCGGTGGACCCAAAACAGGTCTTGGGGGACAAATGTGGTTTGACTGCGCATGGCAAAGCTCTCTCAGGATGGAGGATTTGCTTAGTCCAGAAAGTCTTCCCCAACGTAGTCCTAGTTACTTGGGGCCGAACTTCTCAAGGCCATGATCTGGACAAGATACACCCTGGGAACCGTTGGCAATTCATGCGACTACTTCCATTTGACCGTCGAGGTTGGCCCGAAGATGTTTCAAGGAAACATAGCCCCCATGACAATATCCTCATGCATCCAAAGGAAGATGAAGGCTGGTCAGTCCAGGAGTTGAAGACACATTGCAACTTCAATGTACTTGTTGCCAACGAAGTCATACCCACTCAGGGTTTCATATTCGCAGGATATCTCACAGACGACAGTCTTCATATGGTTGAGTGGGTTCGCAATGCCGCTTTTGTTGGGCTTGCCGAGCTTAAGTACATGCCTCCAACCCCATCTGGAGTCGACGAGGGTGCAGTACGGCGAGGTTTGGAGAATAACCACTATCCGCGGCAGCAACCAACCGGCTCTATCAAGCCAAAGCTGTTCCCTGCAGCGTACCGAATGCCAGCACCTCCCCCGTATGTCCCAGCACCGGGAGGAGAAGTGTTTGCCTTCCAAGATGCACCTTCATCTCCCCAGATCCCTACTGGTCCTCGTGGCACAGGTGGCGGTAGGCCTCGCGATCGTCCCGCACGTGGTCCTGGAAGGCAACGTAGTCGGTCGCGAAGTCCACTACCTCGTGAACGTCAAGCTGACCGAAACGGAGACTACGCTCGAGGTTACCCTGGTAGATCAGCGCAACCTGATCAACCCAATCATCAGCAAGAAGGCCACGACCGCCCTGCCGACACGCGTCTCGGCGACAATATCAACCGTCCTGTCTTCATGCCAGTGAACAACGTGATGCAAGATGGAAGATATCAGCCTCACGTTATCCATAACCATGCGTCGCGCGATCACGACGACAACCGCAACCCCGAGCGTGAGAACTACGAGGACGATCGTGGCCGTGACAGAGCTGAACAGGGTGGCGCGTACCAGCATCCTGAGCGGCGCGATCACGACCACGACCAGGACCGCCGTCCCGAGCGTGAACACTACGAGGATGATGGTGGTCGTGGCAGGCATGAGCAGGGTGGTGAGTACCAGAACGGGGATTTACTCAACTATGGTTAAGAGTACAAGAGGCCTCTCGTACGAAGAAGCCTCTTTGTTACCCTGGCATCCGAATCCGAAGCGCGTATATGGGTCGATGTCGGTATCTCATCTCAAGAGGTATTCTCGATATACCCTACGCTGAGCTTCAATTGAAGAAATGGGCTTCTTACTACCGAGATATAAAGCGAGGCCTTGTTCATTGTAAATGATGTAGAACAATGAAGTGTGGGATTCTTGATGGCGCGATGTGCTTTGTTCAAGCTTTTGTTATCGATGTTCCTTGACGACCGAAGGACGAGACGATGTCCGCGTGGTTCTTTGTGTGATTTCCTGACTGCAAGACCCCCACGTTGAGTGACCTCGTTGTTCAAAGTGCTGTATATGCGAGCTTTAACAGGGGTAGCGCAACGTGATAGCCTCAGTCAATGCTCGCTGTTCGGATGATAACTGCGTTGACGATGGTCCAACAAGCCTAATTGCTGCGGCCGCAACACCGGCCGACAGCTGTCGGGTGTTGATCACAACTAAATTGTAGGTCTCGCCGCATCTCGAGTCGTGGTTCTCATTGGTTCGCGAAGGCTGTAACACAGGATGAGTGGAGTCTTCGGACTCTGCTGGCGCGGCGGACTCGGGACTCAAAAGTCCTAATAAAGACGTGTTCTCGTGGGCTTGTATCCACACATGTCGCATGCGACGAGAATTGAGGTGCAGAAGAACCGATATTTATCTGAGGGGCGACAGAGTGTGCGAAGGCCGTTTCGGTCTTGATATAATGAGAGGAAAAGGGAGTCGAGGGGCGTAGGGGCGAGAACTCCGAGATGATCGCCTGAAGCTAACCCGAAGACGAGGCGCACGGTGACACTAAGCACATGTCATGACATCACTCAGAGTCTTGCAATGACCATGCCCAGGTGTTCTCTTTCTTCAATTTCACGATCGAGGTTACATGCGCATCAATGTGATTACATTAATTATCTGCGACTACACACGATAGTGTGAACGTGTTGAATCAGGTCGCGACAGCGACGTGCTACAAGATTAATGCCTGAGACATGTTACTGCTCCCGGAACCAAGCATCCTGAACAACCTCTTTCGCTGATGCCCTCGCGGAAGGCTCCATCCGTAGCATGCTTCCGATGAGTGCGCCTACACGCAAAATGTCTTCTCGGCTCATATCCTCGCGCCTCTCCCCATCAAAGTACATTTCTTCTAACCATTCTTGAAGTGAGCTAGTAGGATCGCTGTCAGGCAATGTTTTTTTCATGGCATGCCAATCCATCTTCCAACGATCCGGCAAATCGTCCCCGACTGCCTCGAGCATTTGCTGGACAAGGCTTGCAGGCGTTATCATGAAGCTGTCAAACGGCGGCTGTCCGACAACGAGCTCGAAGAACTTTATCAGTCATTAGCTTTCCATCGAGTTAACTTGGGGTTTATATCGCCATAGCCGAACTCACCAAACAACCCATACTCCAAAGATCTACACGATAATCCACCTTATCTTTAAAGATGATCTCGGGGGCGCGAATAGGGAGTGGAGTACGCAGTGCGCTAGGACACTCGTCGTATAAGAAAGATTGGCCAAAATCAATGATCTTGATAGAGCTGGAGGACAACTTGATATCTATAGGGTAGGAAGTGGGTCTGACAAGATATCGAGGCACGTTGGGTTCTACTGGCTGGCCATCATTTCGTTGGACAGCGCCCGTTTCGGGTCGTCCAAGTTTCTGGAGGAAGTCGTCTTCTCGTAAGGCTTGTAGCGAAGGAATTGTGAATGCAAGGTTGCGGGTGTGCAGATCTAAGAACGATGAGCAGAGTTGACGTGAACATTGACATTATACCGTACCTGCATGCGCAATTCCTCGCTCGTGAAGGCAGCACAAACCAAGCAAATCTTGTTTCGCAATGGTTTTCGCAAGCTTTCCAGGAAGCCTTTCCATGAAATGCGCGTCGAGGTAATCGGCCACACTTGGTCCTAACAACTCCAGCACGAGGCATTCGTGAGTCCCATTTGGGCCACTGATATGAAACGAATCTATCATTCTCATGAGATGCTGGTAGCCTGGCTGATTCGATTGCGCTGCCGTTACTGTACACAAGACTGCAGTCTCTCGATTCTGATGGTTTGTCTCAGATACCGATATCTTCAAAGCAACGTACGTCTGGCTTCTAATAGCACATCAGCTCAAGTTTTTCGATGTTGCGCAGAAAGCGGAACCTGACATCGCGCGCAGCCCAGACAGTCGAATATCCACCCCAGCCTAATTTGTGCAGGATTTTGTATCTGCCATTGCTGAAACGATCACCGAGCTGGACGGGATGATAGCCACCCCTTTGATAACGATGCAAAGGTTCGGCATCGATATCGCAACTATGCGTAGACCAGTCCATCGATGGACCAGGCTGAGAAGGTGCATGCGTAGATGAAAGTGGACGTCTAGGCACGCGTGTCGCCAAGGACAATTTGCTGGCCAGCCCTTTCTGAGCTGATGGATTGTGAGTTCGAACGATTATCCTGGCGACGGTCATGCTTTCGCCCACGAGCTTGCATTGAACTTTGAGAGGTGTTTAGCTACTCTATGGTGGCGCGAAGATTAGACCCTTCAGACCCTTGGAAGGGACCCGTGGACGCCAAGAAATTGCAGTGCTGGGCCGCGAATTGAGCCGGCGCGCGTTTCGAGCCACCTAAACATCGTAACAATTTAATCGTCCCAACTCCAATGCGCTATGACTTCGCCAAAATGCACCCGATCTAGAACGCAATAAAAGCAATCGATTCACGCGAGGAAGTCGCTGGTTCAAGAGGCTCGGAAACAAGCTCACAGTCGCCCTTCCCGATGGCGGTCGCTCCTGCTGCGCCGCGCCTCCAACACGTGTTAGAAAAACACAGAAGACTCGTCTGGGATTCAGACTACTGTTCGCATCAAACAACTTAACGAAATTCAACACAAACTCTCCCCACGACCTTGATACGGCTTAAAAAAGTCGCGTATCGACATTCTCATAGACTCTGGAGTCCTTCCCGCGACTGCCTGCACACACGGCTCCTCCTGAGCCCACCCGAGGCTCTGCACTTCACACGCCGAGGATTCACTCTCACCCGTCGAAGGCTCGCCTACTTTTCGAGCTTTCCTTTCACTCAGTTCTTGATCACCGCGCTTCCGCTTATTGCCACTGGGGCGATAAGGCAAAACTTCAGACGGTTCAGTCGGCTTTGGAGATGGCGTGTCTCTCTTGTTGTACTCCAGCGCTAATTGTTTCAGGCCATTCTTGAAGTCCTGAGCTTGCCGCGAGCTTGGTGCGGAGCGTGTAATCTCTTGCCCTGCCATTGCTTCGACGCTGTCGTCGATGCTTACATCGCTAAATGATTGCTCGACATCATCTGCCATAATTGCCGATGGCATAACGTCGGGTTCAGAGATTTGGCTGTCCTCGTCTCGATAGCCGTCTGGTCTCTTCCAGTCAAGTGCCGGTTTCGCTGTAATCTCTAGACGGGCTGGGGTGATCTCGCATGTATCGCAATTGGATTCCGCTACACGCCACAATTCCGGATCACTCTGAACATGAGATTGAGATGAAGCCGGCGAACGCGGACTCGCAAGACCATCATGTGAATTCTCGGATTGAGCTCGGTCATGGTGTTGTCCATGGTGTTGTCTACGGTCATGCCTTTGCGACCGTGAGCGGGACTGAGATCGATAACGAGGTTGTCCACGACTTCGCCCACTCGATCGTTCCTGCCTTCCATGGTCATAGGTATGAGGCTCTCTTCTACGATGCCTGGACCTGTTGTCTTGTCTTCGCGATCGAGAATGAGACCTGGGCCGAGACTCAGTGCGAGGACGTTGGGCATGATTGGTACTTCGCGATCTAGCCTCCCGCCTCTGTTCGCGGTGTGATCTTCGATGTCTTCTGTCCCGGGTTCTTGAGCGAGCGCGCGGCTCTCGGTGCCTGGGTACTGAATCATCCCGGCTAGATGCTCGATCAGGTTCATATCTATCGATCTGACCATCACGCACCCACAGGCGATCGAGTTCTTGTTGCACCGTAAACCATGCATTTATCCATCTCTCTTTGCCCAACTTTACCGAGTCTTCTGCGAGTCGACGGTGATACTGGTCGATTCTTTTGTTCTTATGACACTTCTTCCGCTCTTCCAAAAGGTCTTGCAGCTTGATTCTTTCCTGATCAGTTGCTTGTCCAGTTTTCTTGACCTTCTTTTTCATCACTTCTATCAGGTGCTCTAGCTCTTCTTCCCAGGCTTCGGTTCTGGCTTCGTTCTCGAAAAGTTCTTTCTCTTCATCGGCGACCCTCTTAGGGGGTCTCCAGTATTGGTGAGCGACGCACAACGCTTTGCGTATCTTTTCCGCCAGTGGTTTCGAGAGAACCAACGCATCAGGCGACTCTCGCCCGTCCTGAACGCGAAGGAAATGTGCTGGCCCCTCGGTGCATTCTATTCTCTCTCTGTCTTTCGACGTCCAGCGACGATATATGCCTTTCAACTGATTGGCGTGATAGTCAGGGTCCCAGTCATGATAAAAAAGGTGATGATGGTCCATATTGGCAGGTTTCTAGATAGCATGATGGTGAAATGAGTCGTGATGATATAGGCTCAAACAAAGGAGGCTTATAGCTCCACGTATACCCGGATTCGGTAAACGTAGTGCGACTACAACAAAGACGTCATTCTTCTTTCATTGAGACAACGGCCTTTCACAATCGCTAGCTCTCGACAGTCCAGCTCTGTCAGCGAGATTGCGAGACTAGACTGGATCGAGTATACACAACACCACTGGGCACGTACCTCAGCCTGCGACTGGCAGATGCAACGGCTTTCGACATTCACTGAAGCCAAGACAGCCGCGATGCCTGCCCCTATTTCAATAGAGCCCCCTCTGGAGTTACAGTCGCTACCACTCCATGGGCACCTCAACTCACCTGGACCTTTCAACCCCCCCTCGACACATGAAAGGGATTGACCTCCATGCCTCGCGGAAGCCAACCCCCAAAGCAGGCTCCGGGCCTTGAACGCGCACAGGTCCCACAGGAGGATGATGAGACTGGGTCACGCTACAACTTACGCAATGTTCGTGGGCCAGCCGAGGAGCACGATAACAATCGCGCGGAGGAGCAAGATCATCGCGGCCGCGACGGACAAGGCGATGAGCCATCCAAATATGATAAACCAGATGTGCATCCTCGTCGTCAAAAACGATCACGCTCACGCACGCGCTCTCGTGACCGAGATCAAGGCCATTCCAGGAGCCCATCCAGGGTTGCAAAACGAGCCCGGAAAGGTAAACCTTCTCGGTCGCGGCGGGAACACCCAGCCAGAGAAGGCGATCGACCTTCCAGGAACGAGCATGCTCGAGGTCGCGATGCCCACCAGAAACAATCGCCCTCCCCTGAGCGTACTCCAGCTCCCACCAAGCGCAATCCAGATTCCACCAAGCGGACTCCAGATCCCACCAAGCGCACTCCAGATCCTTCCGATCGCACTCCAGATCTGCTACGCCTGTCTCCAGCTCCCGGCATAAGCTACACTGTGATAGACCACAGCAAGAACACAAGCTTTCAATGGGGACCGGCGTATGGACAGCCCCAGGATACGTGTCAGGAAGATCTGACGAAGCTACTCAAAACCGGGACTGTGATATCCGTTCGACATTGCGATTTTTCGTCCGACCCTGATGCGGATGTTGGAGAGAAGTTCACGCTGTCTTCGCAAGGACTGATATACATCAAAGAAGACGTCCCTTTCGTGGTTTGCCGAGTTGAAGCTACTTACGTCACCGGCTGGTATTGTCGCAGCGTCGGTGATCGCGGCTTAGAAGTGCCTTGGATATCGGAGTCGGAACGCGCAAAGTACATGGGAATGGCCACGAAGGACGACCCGAATGGACCTGGAGGAAACAACAGTCCGCACGCCCAGCTCCAAATGACGCGAAGGGGACACTCCAGAATGCTCAAGCCAACAACTCATGTCTTCGCTGGCGAGATATCAAGGGCCAAGGTTCCACCAAATGTTTACATCTGGGGCTGGCTCGCGGCCGAGGAATACTTCCGCTTGATGAAACTGCACGAGTTTCTCACCGCATCTCCTGGATCGGCTGCCGGAAGGATCGCTTCGGTTCCAACGACTATTGGCTTCGATATCGATGCGCTGAGCCGGTTACGGACTGCGGAGCAATCTTTGCTTGTAGTTTTCGAAAAGAGAATCGCGGCTCTCGAGGCTCAACACAAGCCGAAGCCACCCAACGATGACACGGACGCAAACAACCGTCCGCCTCGGGCTCAGACAGCACCGGATGGGCGTAACCCAGCTCCTATTACGCGCCCCGGTGCCAGAGACGTTAGCACGACAAGGACGCCGCCGCCGCCACCACCACCACCAGCGACTATGCCGGCTAACCACAAGAGGACACGACCAGCGCAGCCTCAACAACCACGGGCTGGGAATGGTACGAGGGACAGCGGGTTTAATCCACCAACGGGGCCGAAGAGCATGCGCGGCGGCGAGCGCAACCGCGACCGTCAGCCTCGTTCGTCAACAAGGCCTCATCAACCACCAAATCCCTAGGGCCACGCCATTCTAGGAAAACGCTGAACACCCTGGAGCCTACATTGACGTTGGGTCACACACCCTGCAGGTCTTTGTCTTGATGTAGTCCGCAGGCCTGTTCAGGTTCTTTCTTGTATGAGGTGGGGCAGCGTAACAAGTCTTTCAGAAGGTTTGGGAGGAACAAGGGGTGACATTGGCCCACACCAATCTTCAGTTCACAATGAGCAGCGCGATGTGTCCAAGGAACAAAGCGAGGAAGATTTTTCGTCGGCTCTAGGCGATAAAGAGGCGCGAGGAGGGCCATTCAGGTATACTGTTGGTGTAAGACATGAGATGCGCTCATGTAACAAGGTTATATAGCGAGGATGTCGTTGCGAGGTCGATATTTTGCTGTGTATGTAGGGATCGGGAGGACATTTCGGTTCCAAAGCGCAAGGTCTGTGTTGTATAAAGAAAAGGCTTGCTACACGACGAAGAGAAAGTAACAAATAATCTCTTTGTACATAGAATATATCATCATCATAACAAATGAGGCTGAACAGCGCAAAGCTTGTGAAGGAAGGAAGGATGCGTAGACGCCCAAGTGACGATGCGGCTCCTTGCTCGCCAAGACCCCCGGAGATTGTCGGCGCCGATCATCACAACTCAAGGAAGCATCGCTCGTGAACTTCGACAACTGCGCCAGCTTCTCCTCTACGGGCCGTACAGCATGCCCCGTGTAGTTGCTCGTCACCTTCCCGTCGCTTCCGTATAGATCATAGACCTCCGTTCACACTAGTGCGTATACAGCTCCACCGCTTCCGCCAGCCACCGTCGCGCGCATTCGATGGGTATCTGCTCGTCGTGCCTGGGAGGGCGAAGGACTTCTGAGTCTGACGTGAGTAACATGGATGCTTCTATACCGTATGCGGATCGCTGATATTCTCATACAGAACTCGGACGCCTCGCACCTACTCGGAGACCAATACCAGCCCAACTATGGAACCGCCAGCAGCACCCACAACGCGCCCCAGCCAGACCCAGAGGAGCTTCGACGTCAGCGAGAAAATCTGGAGCGAATTTGCGCTGAGACGAATGAGTGAGTGCCACCTTCCTCATCTATGGACGTTCCTTCCTGCATCTGAGTCTGCACCATCCCACAAAGTCGCTCGCACCTTCCCGCAAAGGAGCCTGTACCTTCCGAGTCAACGGCCACAAAGTCCCTTAGACGTTCTGCATCTCCATTAGAACACGACACTGATATCCTGCAGGCAACTAATCCCCGTCTCCCAACCGAGCGCCCTCCCCGAAGTCACCGAACAGCCCTCCAAGAACGACGAATACGCACACCTCTTCAACGAGCGCTTCAAGTCGATACGGAGCCAGCGCCCATCCTCCGCGGGTAACGACGATGACGACGAGACAACATGGCTCGAGAATGCCATGGGCAACCAGGGCGAGGATGAGCTGGAGCAGATTAAGCCGGCCAAGGGGAAGCTGACGATTCAGTTCGGTCAGCGGTAGACATCTACACTGGGAGTTTCGAGGACGGCGATGTTGTTCGGCCCTGTGCGGGGTCTTCAGCTGAGGTGCTGAGGTTATACGTACCTTTTCATTGTTTGTCGCATTCTGCATTGCATCAGCGCCTTTACGGATACCCATAATCTTTTCCTTCTGTTGTTCCTACGCCTCGGGATGAGGTCGTTTACGTACGTTTTCAAGTAGCATAATCATGTCTGCATCGAACGTCTTCTCGTCTCCTTTCGTTCATGTCTCTCAAGAGTCGGTCCGGCAATGCCATTATACGAGGCACGTTGGTCTTCATTACTGATCTGATGCAATTGATTTCTAGATACAAGCTCCTACGATAGTACTTCGCTATCCCAGGCAAATGCCAAGCTGGCCAGACGAAGCCAACCAATGCCGACTCGCTACCCATGTGAATGGACTGGTGAAAGTCCCGACAACTCTGTCTATCGCTGAAAAGTCTAGCAATGCAAGACATGCAAAATCAATCATCTCTCGGGCAGACACAACGCCATCACCGCCATCACCACCATCATCACCATCACCTACCCTAGACAGCCTTGAACAACAAGTCCGGAGGACCAGTCGCAGGCTTCTCGTCACTCACACCCAACTCCGCAAGCATACTACCAGCGCGCTCATCCATCAACTTGGCCAACTCCTCCCGAAACTCCGCGTCGATGAAGTCAAGACGCAACTTCAAGCCCGGCTGCACCATGCGCTGCTTCTCCGGATCGAGCTTCTTGAATGTCTTCTTACCCCAGACCAACGCGGCGCTCTCCATGGCGTTGAAGAGGGCTTTGTTATCGTCTCCGTCCATGGTGTCGGCGTTGAGGTACTTGGTTGCCATCTGCTCGACGAAAGCGCCGACGGTGCATTCGTTTGCGTGCTGATCGGCGGTCTTGTTCGTTGTGTCAGCTTTTTCGTCGTCGATCACAGCTCGAAACTCATTACTTACACTCTGCTCAGCCAAGGAAGCCACAGTCTCTTCGCCTGTCGTCTCGCCTGTCTGTTCTAATCCCAGTTTCTCACGGAGATGCTTCTGGATGTACTTATACGTCTCGCCCTGTGGCCTCGGTGCACCACCTCGCTTGATGATATCGGGGATCCTCGAGGCTGGGTTCGACAGGACGGGGTTTTGGCGACTCAACAGCGGCTCTTCGTATGGTCCGATGGCAGCATCATAGAGGTCTGGATCGCCCTTGTAGTCACCGCCTAAGTAGCCGTTGGACCTACCGCCGCTGCGCACACTGCCGTCGACGGGGTCAGACTGCGGGGATGGTGGATCTTGGTAGGTTGGAGCGGTGGTTGATCGTCGAGTTGCGCGTGTGGCAGGTGGTGTCCGAGTGGCAGTAGCAAGCGCGCTCTCGGCGAAGGTGAGTTCAGTCTTGCGCTTCTTGCTTGGTGTAGGTGAGTGATCGTCTGGCTCGAAGTCGTCTTCGGAAGATAGCTCGTCGACCTCACTGTCAAGAACAACCGGCTTCTTCCTGATCGAGCGCTTCTTCGCCGACGACTTCTGGGCTGATGCACCAGTCTCCTTCGGCGCAGGATCGACTTCTTTCTCCTCTTCCTTAACCTCATCCTCCTTCTTCTCTTCACTCTCACGTACGGGTGTACTGCTCGCCACGGGCCTACGCCTCACCGTCCTACCCGCAGGAGTAGTACCAGCGCCAACTCCAGCCGCACCTGGCGTCGCCATATTACCATGAAGCAGACCTTTGTTATTCTTAACCCGCTTTTCATAACACGGCTGGCAGACCTGAAACGTACAACCCGGGCAACGACGCATAGTATCCATATTCCGCTGATCGCACTCAGTGCACTTGGCCGTGTGGACAGTCACCCTACTAAACAGCGTCTCGTCGACAGTGCAGGGCTGAATGGCCGATGATGCTCCTGGGGTGCGGGGCGCGCGTGTGGGGAACGGACTGCTGGATGAACGTGGGGTGTTGGGGAGGAGGGGGCGGTTACGTCGGCCTGGTGTGGATGGTGCGGGTGAAGGCGCGGGTACGAGTGTTGTTGCAGTTGGTACCTTAGCGTGAAGGCCCGCATCTGGACCTGGTGTTGCTGGAGGATCCATGGCGCCACGTGGTGAGCTTTGCTCTGCTTGCTCTGGTGCGGGTGGGGGTGGGTCGGGTGTTGCGTCGCTCATGTTGTTTAGTCGCCTTGTCCTTGCGGAGGATGAGTGTACTGTGGATTGTATCGCAGTACTTTGAACTGCTGGTGTGGACGCTGAGGGAAAAGCTGATGGTGGGGGATATATACTCTGAAGATATAAGACTGACAAAGGGTCTCAGTAGTCGCCTGAGACTTCTCGGTGACTTGCCGCTTGGACCGTTGTGTTCTGATTCAAATCCGAAATAGAGAAACTGATTCAGAACGGTATTGATCGCAATAGATGTGGACGGTAGAAAGTGGATGTAAAAAAGGCGCCAACTCCTGATCAATCTGATAGAAGTTGGTGCTTTACGCTCGGACTAACGCGGGGCACAATGACGCGAGATCCAGGCGCCAGAGTTGTAGAAATCCAACCGGAATGGAATGTCGGATCCGGGGCGAGCGGGTTCAAACGGGGGTGACTGAGGGTTATGGGTGGCGAGACTCGAGGGAGCGAGGGGCAAATATTGCTCGTTTCGAGGGAGTATTCACTGACTGGGACTGGGACTGTGCCTGTTCGAGATCTTTGGTTTGCCTTTGATGATGGACGGATAGAGACGGGTGGAAAGTGGAATGTATGTACAAGTACAGGTGCAAAGAGCAGGAAGAAGAGAGATAACCACCGCAACCACCACCAAGCTATATACAATCCTTCCGACGCGCTATGTGAAGAGAAGAATAAGAGATAGCCAGCCGACTCACATACACGACGGAAGCGGGCTGCAAAACGAACAAGAAGCGGGAGGCGAACGAAGGACCAGTCATTGTTGATTATGTGAAGAGGAAATAGTTCTTTATAGAACGTGTGACATGGCGGGGCGCGGGTTCGTGCTGTCACATCTGTCACAAGTGGTATTGGAGTCATGAGTTTGGAGGGCATGTTGCGTAGCATTCACCTGTTCGGGGCCTGGGAGAGCTGCGTGCGTTGGTGGTACGGTGGTGACAAACGGTGGAGATGGTAAGTTGGGAGTTCGGGTTACTGGATGGGGTAATCGTGGTCGTTCAAGGCGTAAGTGGGGATGAAGATGTTGGATGATCGTAGTGTAGTCTGACTTTGATGTCTTTGATCTGACTGTGAAGTTGTGTGACTTTGCTGTGGTTTTTGGTGCACTCAGATGTCTTGAAGTGATGAGCCGCTCACAGCCGCCGCAGTCTGATTAATAAGCGTACAGAGAGATGAGTCTGATTTGTTAATGTTGCTGCTACGAGGTACTGAGGTGTTTCTTGAGACTTGTATATCTGTTGGGTGGGGTGTGGTACGGTCGCCAAAAGACCCTGGGCCGGGGAACCACCGTTACCGAATATCTCCCCCCCCCAATGTACACAACCAAAGTACCCTCGCGAAAAGACCCCCGGGCTCGAGCGCGAAAGACAGAGAAGACCCTGGGCCGGGTCGCTGTTGGATGGCCGTGGTCGTTGGATGGCCCCATCTTTGCCATGCGAACGTGCGGATCCTGCGGGCCGATCTCGCAGTGGATCTAGATCTGTTGGATGTCGTGCCACATTGCATAATCGATGGCTTTGCGATGCTACCCTGGTACTGACAGAGGCGTGCTTGACATCTGGACCAGACTTTGGAACCGAGGATGCAGATGTGCTCGGTGGATCGCAACAGCATCAACGACGCTTCTGAGCGTGGAGAACAGTCAGTCTTGATATCAAACGCGGTGTCGTAGTCATGACGTGGCGACAAAAGCTCGGTACAGCATTCTCCCAGACCAACGGCGTGAGGCTCCTGCTAGTCGCTAGTGAGGCTCTCGTGGTGACTAGCAAAGCTGCTAGAGGACTGGGCGGTGTGCTTGTCTGATAAGAAAGCTAGATCAAACGCTAGGAGTGGATGCCGTTGATGGTATTCAAGTCGACGTGTCGTGCATTGCGGATCTACAGAAGGCATGCACGGTACCTGAGGAAGTGCAGCCTCGCTTACCCAATGCGGCGCAGAAGGAACTCGCATCTTGCAGATGTGACACCTGCAAGGAGCCGCATCGTCCATCAAGTCCAACCCCGCTATGGGCCGTGAACCATTTTCCCGAATCTCTTTTGCCGCCTCGAGCGCCGACGGTCGCTCTGCCGCCATGGCTGTTGTGTTGGGTGCTTGCTTCTGCCTAGAGCGGGGTCTCGCCGCTTGATGACGGCTCTAGAGAAATTTGGGGTGTGCGGCCTCACCGGCGACTCTCTGGGAAAATGCAGCGCTATATATACATCGTTGCCGCTTCTTCAGCAGCGGCGGCACCGGAGTGTCGCCGTACGCTGTACGCCGCATCAAGCAGATAGCTGGAGACGGCGGTGAGTGGACTGCATGGTGATTGCAGTAGACCTAGCAGCGGGCACTAGCCACACCGACTAGGCTAACAAGGGCGCGCAGCTTCTTCAGTTCGGAATGCGCAAAGCGCGACAACCAAACAGCGCGTCTCCATCAACAGACCGCCAAAATCATCAAGCGCGCGTGACAGTCGTCTGCGCGGAAGTTTGCGCCGCGCAATCGTATAACTCGGGAGGCTGTCGCAAAGTACGCGTCGCGGGCTGTTCGAAACCCAGGCCTTAAGCGAAGACAACCCTGCCCATCACGACAGCAGCATACACATACTCGAACCCTCCTGGCTGAGCTCGCCGGGTATTCTTAAGCGGAGAAGAGCGTTGTGGCGGTGCGGCTGAAGACCATATCACCAAATCAAAAGCTTGGGGCTGCAGCCTCTGCCTCCTCGCAGCGGCCGGATTCGCACACCACCAAGCACCCTCCTCTCGGCGCCCTCCCCTTGCCAGTTCGAGACCTGGTGTGCGACCTACTCACAGGCATCCAACAACCGTGTGAGACGATAAAGTCGCCTCCCACGACCTTG